ATTTTCCAATGAATTAATTTTTCAGCAGGGGGAAGGGACAGTACAGACCATGGAGACCTGAGGCCAAGGGAAAACCAGCCATGAAGCTTGCAAAGTTGCCAATGCCTGCTTTAGAAGTCTTTCTATTTGCGTGTGAAGCCACCGAAGCTACCCTCTGAAGGCAAAAGAGATCACCCTTCATGGCAGAAAGGAAACTCTCCCCTTGGTCATCTATGGAGGCCAGAAACTCAACTGGCATCAGGGTGGTGGCAAAGATCATAACGTTCCCATCATGCCACCCGCAGGCAGCCTTGAAAGGAGACGGGCATCCTGGGCATCGCTTTCTTCTCACCTCCGACAGGTTAAGGCAACCTTCTGCCAATGCTGTCCGGATTCCCATTTTCCCATGGAAGAACCCTTCTGCGTTGAGTAGCGAGGACTTCTCTTTCAGCGCCGGGCAAACGGGAGAGCCCTCCGAAAGGTTGGCATGAAGCCCTATCGGGATACGATGCCTACGGAATGAATATGCAAAAACAGCGGTCAGCTTCCAGCTTTTGCCAATGAGCCACGCTCCCCTGAATGCTGCATGCAATGGGGAAAGATCATATTCTCTTTCATCGGGAAGGAGTCTTTCTTCGTACGTATTCCAGGAAGAAGGGCATGTCAAGCCAGGGGGGCACGACGGACTTCTGCGTGGAAACGAAGGATCTCCTACCTTTCTCCCGGTATAGGAGAATTTAAGTTTGGCTAACAAATGGAAAACAGCACAATGCAAAGGCATTCCCAATGTAAATGCAAAGTTTAAAAAGAAGCAATTGCACAAATGTGAAATGTTTAAAACATTCCATATTAAAAATGGTTAAAATATATTTAAAATTAGACGGCGGGCCCTTCTTATCCACAGGGGTTCTGTCTGGGGGAGACACACACACCCGATGGCAAAAACCGGGGACCTCAAGTATTCAACGCCGGCCTTTGCCTGCATGGCCCCTCTGCTGAAGTCAATGAGGCTTGCCATCTGCGGATGCTCAAATCCGTGGATGGCGAGCCCGTGGTTGGGCTGGGTGCCCTGCACAAACTCTCAAAGCAGTCAACCCACATCCGTTTGGGGAAAAATGACACTACAAAAAATGCTTTTCTTTGCCGCCGAAAGGAGAGCAGGGATGGAGCCCTCCTGGCCTCTCTAGGGAGGGAGTTCCAGAGCCTGGGAGCAGCCACCAAGAAGGCCCTCTCTCTTGTTCCCACCAACCAAGTTTAAGGCCCTTATAAGCAACAGATCTTCCACTACAGGAACCTACCTCCTCCTCAGCCAGAAGATGGATTTAAAACCGGATCATGATTCCAATTTAGCCTCCCGGCTTTGGGCCAGAGTAGCGGAAAGACCGCCTCCTCCTGTATGCACTTGCCCAGAATTTTGGATCTTCAACTGAAACCCTGTAATATGTTCCGACCCAACCTCTAAACTAAGTCGGCGAGTGGAACTCGCTCTCAAAGAAATTCAGGCTCTGATCCTTTTGAGCTCCCACTGGGTGGACAAAACTGTGTTATTCTGCCTGGGTCTTTGTTTCTATAAGACTGTGGCTTTTTAAAAATGGTTTTCAATCCATTCTCAGATTTATTTGATTGGACATGGCTTTAGGTGCGGTGGGCAGAAAAGCAATAAAATACTTGTAGTAAGTTGTTTTTTTCCCTGACCCAGGGTCCTTCAAATGTGTTATACAACAGCTCCGGACAGCTCCCATGACCCCCAGTCGGAATGGCTTTGCTGACTGGGAATGATGGGAGCGGCAGTCCAACACATCTGGAGGGCAGCTGGGTGGAGAAGGCTGTTCTCATGGATGCAGTGTGTCCTCCGGACCTCATCCGCAATCTGGGAGTATTTATAACATTTGCATTTCTGCTCCAACGCCCACGCTCCGACAATCCTTTGAGTCCGCAGAGGCGGTTAAAAGGATTAAGGTGTTGGCTATCGCCGTCTATATTTATCGGAGCAGCCAGTTGAAGAAAAGGTTGTGGCCCCAGCTCCAAATGTCTCTCCAAGACGCGTGCAGTTTCACTTTCTGTACCGTGAGGCAGCTCGCCCTCAAAAATTGGCAGGATCTATCCCCATGCAATAATGAGATTTGCAAAACACGATATGCATGCCGCTCTTTCACAATATCCCCCCTTATTTAGAGGAAAATAAAACCCGGTAGAGGTCAAGGGAGATCCCCCCAAAAAGCATGGAGTGGGGGATAGTGTGTGCTCCATATACTGGGGTTTGCATTTAGTTAGTGATGCACACAAGAGTTAAGTCCACCTTATGCCTATGGATGTCTTTTTTCATTGTTGCGGAAGTGGGTAATAATAATAATAATAATAATAATAATAATAACAACAACAACAATAATACAATTTATTTATATCCCGCCTCTCTGTACAACACAACTGGGGTGGGATATAAATATAAGCAGAGGCTGGATGGCTATCTGTTGGTCTTTAAGCAGAGGCTGGATGACCATCTGTTGGGGATGCTTTGATT